AAAAATATCTAAGAGAAATAATTGAGTTTTTATCATATAAAAACTCTGCTTCATGGTTAACAGGTTCTTTAAGAAAAAAATTTTTAAGTGTTAAGTGCTTGAAAGCCTACTACCCTGTCCAACTGAATCAAAATTAGTATTCTTTCTTTAATGTTTATAAACCATTTTTAAATATGAGACTGCTAAAGTACCTGATGATGTAAAAATCATAAAGGGGAATGAATAAAAACGGCAGATGCCCAACACTGACAATAAAGACATTCAATGATTTCACCTATAGTTAATGCATAACTCTGTGAACGTTTTCCATGCAATGTATAATAAATTTATTTTGTATATTTAGATATGGCTATCTCAATCATCTTAAGAACATCCTTTAATATTTTATCTCTTTGCCTGAGTGTGTGGCAGCCTCTAAAATTTAATATATCATACTATAAACCTCAATAAGGAACACAATTTATATTAGTTATATAATATCAAAGGAAGAAAAATGGATAATTTCCTTAGAAACTATTTAAACTATGAATGGCCACAAAGAAGGTCACTTGAAATAATTTTCTCACGTCTCCATATATCTTAAGAGTCAGAAGATCTCCAGATCTCCTACTGTTACCAAATAATAAAGACTTAGATATGGCTCAGTTAAGTGCAGATACATTGCAACTACTAATATTTAAAGTTAAACATTGAATTGTTTCATAGTTCACTTTAAAGTGAACTATAAGAGCCTGTTTAAAATCTTTTGGTATAATAATAATTTGTTATACAAAATATTGTTTTAAATCAAATGAGTGATAGATTAGAAAATATGTTTTTGTCATACGGACTTCATATTAGAAAGATCCTGATATTGAAATTTCAAATATATTTATTTCCCCAGCACACTGGCCACCACCTAATGGACTTCTTTTGTAACAAAAATTAAATACAGAAAAGAATTTGGTTGTTAATTGTCATGGATTGAATTATGTCCCCCCAAAAATGTGTGTGTATCAATTTAGCTGGGCTATGATTCCAGTATCGTAGGATTGTCTATCATTTTGTCATTTGATGTGATTTCCCTATGTGTTGTAAATCCTATCGCTATGATGTAATAAGATGGATTAGCAGCAGTTATACTGATGACATCTACAAGATTAGATAGTATCTTAAGCCAATCTCTTTTGAGATATAAAAGAGAGAAGCGAGCAGAGAGACATGGGGACCTCAACCACCAAGAAAGCAGCACCAAGAGCAGAGTGTGTCCCTTGGACCTGAGATGCCTCCACTGAGACATTCCCAGACCAAGGGAAGACTGATGACAAGGACCTTACTCCAGAGCCGACAGAGAGAAAGCCTTCTTCCTCTGGAGCCTGCGCCCTGAATTTGGACTTGTAGCCTACTGGACTGTGAGAGAATAAACTTCTTTTTGTTAAAGGCATCCACTTATGGTATTTCTGTTACAGCAGTACTAGATGCCTACAACATTAATTACGCTGTTAAACACCGGGAAAAAAATACACCTATTATAGCTTCTTGTATAATTACTTGCCATTTGAGAAACTATGGTCATACTCTTTGGTTCTTCCTATGAGAGGTGCTTAGGGGCCTCAAAAAAAAAAAAAGAAAAAAACTCATTTTATACAGGATTAAGAAGAGCTTAGACCACACTCAAAAGCAAAATTCTTTAGAAAACCAAAGGCTGAGAACATTCCTTATTCAAAAGTGAAATTCCATTGTCAGGGAAATCACTAATACCAACTATCAAGGGAAAATGTTCATTCCTATTGCAGGATCAGCTAAAGTGAAACTGCTTCTTTAGTTGCTAGGAAACAACCAACTCATTATATGCCATTATCAGAACCCTAGAGAAGAAAACTGGCATCTGCTTCACATTTGGGGATACTGGAGATTGAACTAAAAGCACTGAAACTGCTGCCAAAAATCCCTGGTGTCCAGGGTTTGCACTGTGACCACAGCAGGTGCTGACATCAGGATAGCCTTTGAAGTTTTCCTTTCTGTAGCTCTTTTTCTAATAACTAAAATTATATTTTCCAATATCTCACATTTTCAAACTCAAAGACTCCAAGACAAGACCTCCTCATTTGAGTTACACTAATTATATCTAACCTGAGCAGAACTTAAGGAAAAAAAAAAAACTATTCAGAAATCTCAACAAATAACAGAAAAATTAAAAACTATTAGTTATTCATCAAATGAAATGTACTGTTTATGCCTTGAATTAATTAAAGTCAAAATGAAAAGTAAAGGGAACTGGTTTCAAACATCAGGAGACTAAAGGGAAAGACATACTGGTAAATCCAGTACTCAAAATGACATTCTAGCATTTATCTGCCTGGTTTTCCTAACTGATCCTAAAGATTAACTTCTATTTTTATGGTCTAGCATGCTTTTTCACAATGCATTATCACAAAATTCATTCATGAACACATACCACATTTATTCATCAATCTCTTTCTTTCTCCTAGCAGATGAGGTTGGAGGGAGAGATTGAATGGAATTACGTGGATAAAGTACTAGATACTGACAAAGTAAAACCCAGAGACTCCCTATACTACTGTTTCTGTATCCTGAAGAAATAGTATTCACAGCAGCATTACTCATAATGTCCAAAAACTGCAGACAATCCAAATGTCCATCAACAGGAGAATAAACAAATTTTGGTTATATTCATAAAATGTAATATTATTCAACAATAATGCAATAACATTGATGAGTTCAAAAGTATTAGGCACAGTGGTTAAGAGTTTGGCTGTGAACCAAAAGGTTGGCAGTTCAAATCCACCAGCCACTCCTTGGAAACCCTACGGGACAGTTCTACTCTGCCCTATAGGGCCAGTATGTGTCGGAATCAACTTGATGGCAATGGGTTTTTTCGGTTTCAGTGGAAGAGGCCAAATACAATATCCTATATGATTCCATTCATAGAACATGAAAAACTCATTTATGGTGATAGAAACCACAATAGTGGTTATCTACGGGGAATGGGGTACTGAACAGATAGGAATCTAAGGGAACTTTCTAGGGGGATGGAAATATTCCCTATCTTGATTGGCTGTGTATACACACACACACACACACACACACACACACATATATACTCATTGAATTGTATACAGATCTGTACATCCCACTGTATGTGCAATTTTAACTTAACAAAATATTGTCAGGGAAAAAAATTTAAACCAGACTTCCAGTTCAAGATGGCAGACTGACTACAAGTATTTATCTTCTCCCCTAAAAATAGTTACTAGGAGGAGACATGAAAGGAGCTTCTGGAACACTGATATTTTTCTATTTTCTTGACCTTAATGATGATCAAGTATGCAGCTGTTCCAGCTATATAGTTTAGAATAATTCATCTACCTGAACACTTATGATATGTACACTCTCCTGTATAGGTGTTATATTCAAATTTTAAAAAAATCAGTCAGTGAATCAGGTACCCCCTACAATGTACTGCTGTACAGAGCTTCTACCTAGCTACTTCACCGGCCAAAGTACAGTCCTAAAATATCATCTTTTCAGTTCCTAATAAAATGTACAGAGGAAGAAAATGACTTTACAAAAAAGCCTGTAAGGTAAATATGCAGTCCACTCACTACTCTAGGTATCCTCTAAGTATCCCAATAAAATAAATTATAGATCCATTTTCTCACTTCATCTTTCATGCTGATATTTCCTAGTATGCGTGCTGAAAATGTATCCTTAGCACTCATCATAGTAAACTGTGACTTTTACATGATTTATGTGTCAGAGAGCTCATTTTTGTTAAATCTCTAACAGGGTCCCCTGCCAGACTACCAAATTCCCTAAAGATATTTTTAAGCTGAGCCTTTGATAAATGTAGCAAAGAACAAAGAATAAAATCAGATTACTGAAATGTTGAAATCCTAGCTGAATTCGAAAACTAAAAATTTATAAATGCAGGCAATTAACACAATTATTCTATATTCTCCAATGGATTTAGCAATAGAGAAAAGAGAAGGCTGGGTTGACCCAGACAAATAAATGTCAAAGTCATAAAGGAATTGGGGAAGATGAAGTGTTTTGGGGAGCATAATTGAAATAATCAACTGTAGGATCTGGGTAAGAAAAAGGAGGAAATGTAGCCAAGAGACTTAAATGGCTAGGAGAATAGGAGTCTGGGATCAGACATCAAAGCAGCAATAGTGGTAGAACAACAAGATGTTACGGTCAGAGTTTAAGACATGTTTCATCTACTTACTTCCTCATCTGAAAACGACTATAGGACTACCTACCATTAGAATTGTTCACCTACAACATGGTACCTAATCCAGAGTAGGATCTGAGTAAATAAGGGGTAACTGCAGTAAGTTGGAACAGAAAACACAAATTATTTTTAATATTTACCTACAACAATTATAAACTCACATCTACTGATAAAAAAATAAAATTTATCCAAGCAAACTATAAATAACATATAGCTCATCTGACATTTTTAGATTATCCAATCAACTGTTCTTTCTTAATGATAAATTAAAGTTGATTCAACAGATACTACATATGCAAATATATAACCATATGTCCTCTGAGTAAAACAAAATTTCACTTTGTTGTGAAGTAATTTTAAATCACAGGTAATATGGTTTATATATTTACTTTCTTATTCTGAGGAATTTTACACTGCCCTTATAATTCAAAATTGGCTAAATGTGATTAACCATAAGTCTGAAGAAGGCAGATTACTTATAAAATAGATTTTCTCTTCTTACTTCAGACTCAACAGAGAAACAAAACAATATTTAAAAAAAGGACATTAGTATTTTTAGTAGTAATAAGCAATGGGAAAGATTAAATCATGTAACAGTAAAATTTGGTCTTGGCGCCACATAACTCATACATTCCTTCGATCAACTGGATTCCTCTGTAAAACATCTCAAACCTGACTGCAAATTTTTAATAGTTCTCCAATCACCAAATGCATAACCGTAGCTTGGTCAACAATAAAATGAGATTTAAGGCAATTTTCTTACCTGCCTCAACAGTTTCTCAATGGCTGACATTACCATAAGGCCTCTCCAAACAACTGGTGCAGTCTCTTCAACCAGGAAGCCCATAGACATACTGTAACATTATTACAAAAATACAACTAGTTTACAAGAATTAATCAATATTATTCTAAAAAGTAAAGTAAAAAAGATATGCTCACCAAGCGATACCATAATTCAAAAGAGGTTTCATTAGGTTGTCTGGAATCAGAAAAAAAAAAAAAATATCTCTTAGAAGTGTGAAGTCATTATACATAAACAAACTGACTTGTTTTCTTATCAAAGTGCCAAATTAAAAATACAAATAGGTTACTAATACCGCTGCTCTTTAACTTAAAAGTAATTCATTTCAATCTGCAATAGTTTAAACATTATACCAAGCATACTACTAAAATTCTCAATAAATAGAACAGCTAAAAATAGTTGGGATATAGTTTTATTAAAAAACGATCCAACTACAAATTTAGAAATATGTTTCTAAAAAACAGCCTCAATAAGTAATTTTGTCTAGTGACAGCCTTTTAATCTTTCAGACATTTCCACCAATTTTACTCGTATATATATACACACACATATAAACATATACATATATATATATATACACATAAATGCAGAAGGCATGTATATTTGTGTAAAAATATGGTGTGCATATGTATATACACATATATACACACATATATATGTACAGATATATATATACATACAGATATATACTCACAAGTAACACCATGCCAATCCTCTTCCACATATTGCTGTAAAAAAAAGAATTAGCATAGGGTGCTTACAAAATACCTCACAGGGGAGGGCGAGACTGGCAATCAAACACAGAAGGCCTGCATTATTTGTATAAATTACAAATATATCCTTATCTAATATGTGTATGTATATGTATACTATACACATGCATACGTGTATGTGTACATATATACATATACAAACATACGTACATACATGCATATACAAACATACACAAACATCCAGTCAGCAAAGAAGGACATCAGTCCGCTCTAACTGGAGCATTATTTCTTTTCTTTTTTCTTTACCTTGAAGAGTGAAAAGTATGAAAATCCAAAAGGTAGAAAAACTCTATTTTGTAATCTGAGATAAGACACAGCATTAATATCAAGAAAAAAGCAATCTACTGTTTATGCTCAAGTACAAAAATGAAAATACATTTTAAATGATCAACAAATTGTTACCTTAAAAGAATTTACTTCATCAAACTGTCTATACAGTCACATCCCTATTCACTTTTGCATATCCTACACTTCTCACCACAACAAACTAAAGTAGATCTCTTAATGTATACAATATGGACCAGTATTGAGTTGGTTAGTTTCAGAAGTTAATGAGGAAAATCATTTAAAAGTATACATCCACTTAAACATTTTATTTTAGCTTAAAACATATGCTTGTACACTTATTCACTCATCTTTTAACAAACGACTATACTGAGTAGGCAGCCAGTAAGTAAATGGAATTCAGCAACAAATATCTTAAATAAGCCCACATATATGCTTTACCTAAGGAGCCCTGGTGGTGAAATGGTTAAGTGTTCCAGCTGCTGCACTGGAGAAAGATGTGGCAGTCAGCTTCCATAAAGATTTACAGCCTAGGAACTCCTATGGGGCTTTTCTACTCTGTCCTATAGGGTCACTATGAGTCAGAATCGACTCACCAGTAACGGGTTTGTTTTTGTTTTGAATATACTTTGTCTGCAATTTTCAGTTTCAGTCTCTTTAAAAACAAGAAAAAACTTAAAGAACATCTAACGAAATCTGAATGCAGAATCCTGCTAGATTTTTATGATTTATTCTCTAACTTTTACAGTTATCCTCCCATACAAATTTGCTAGCAACATTTTTCTTCTCTTCAATTTTGTCAAGTCTTTCCAAAGTATGCAACTTAAATTTTCAGAGTAATAACTTTTTCCTTTCATGTTCTGCACTGTATTTTACTATTTTCACCAATTATGCATGCAAATAGATTAAAAAGTCAAGTAGTACTATAAAATTGTTACTAAAAGTCAATAATCCCCCAACCCTCTCTCATTTCCTACTCCCCAGGGTCAACAACTCTCAACTCTTCCACTGATTTAACTTTTTATCTTGAATTTATTTTAGACGCACAGGAAGTTGAAAAAACAGTAGAGTCCCCACAAGCCCTTCACCCCGCTTTCCCTAATGTTAACATCTTACATAAAATTATCAAAACCAGTAAATTAACACTGATACAATACTATTAATAATCTACACACCTGATTCAAATTTTGGCAGTTTTCCTACTCTTGTCCTATATTAATGTCCTTTTCTGGTCCAGGATCCTACATTGCTCAACTGATTCTTTTACTCTATACCTCTAAATAACATAATTAATACTTCGTGACATTGTCCCATAAAAGATTGTAAGATGTATGTCTTTCTCACAAAATAGGTACACTTCTCATGCACTCATCCTCCCAATATAATTATACCATTATTTTTATTAAATCAATAATCATGTAAATGTTATGAATAGCTGAAGAATATAGCATGCTACATGAGTACTTTTCCTTAGTATCCCTGAAACTAATAACTATATTTGGGGAGGATGAGCGCTCATGAACACGTGTGTGTACATGTAACCTTTATTTTGTATGTGTTTACCAGCAATTTAGTCCTAAACTCTCTTCCAGTTGTGTAAATAGCCTCTCAATATAAAAAAAAAATGAAACCCACTGCCATCAAGTCAATTCCGACTCATACTGACCCTACAGGACTGAGCAGAACTGCCCCATAGGATTTCCAAAGCTATAAATATTTACAGAAGCAGACTGCCAAATCTTTCTCCTGAGCAGGGGCTGGTGGATTCGCACCGCTGACCTCTTGGTTAATAGTCAAGTGCTTTAACCACTGTGCAACCAGGGCTCTAGTCAATATTTAATCAAATTTATTAGGCATTTGATTAAATTCATCATCTTAAACAAGTCCCTCCTGGAGAGGGACTTATAATGTTTTTGAATAACAGAAATTCTTAATTTTTATGTAATCAAATAAATCAATCTTTTCCTTTATGGTTTGTCCTTTTAAATCTTGTTTTAGAAAACCCTATCTACCATGTGGTCATAAAGATATTTATTCCCTTACATTTTCTTTCAAAACCTTTATAGTTTTATATTTCACATTTAAGTCCTTAAACCATCTGGAAATAATGTTTATATATGGTATGAGGATCCATTTTCTTTTTCTTTCCACGTGGCTAATAAATAGTTACAGCATCAATAATCTGCAATGCCAACTCTGTCATAAAATCAAGTTTCCATATATGTATCCACCACTTGTCTGTCAGTTTGTCATACTATGGTGACTTGACTGTTGCTGTGATGCTGGAAGCTATGCCATCAGTATTTAAATACCAGTAGGATCACCCATGATGGACAAGTTTCAGTGTAGCTTCCAGGAAAAGACAGAATAGGAAGAAGGATGTGATGACCTACTTCTAAAAAGTAAATTTTTTTGGCTAGTAAGAACCTTATGAATAGCAGCAGAACATTGTCTGATACAGTGCCAGAAGACAAACCCCTCAGGTTGGAAGACACTCAAAACATGACTGGGGAAGAGCTGCTACTCAAAGTAGAGTCAACCTTAATGACACAGATGGAGAAAAGCTTTCAGGACCTTCATTTGCTGATATGGCATGACTCAAAATGAAAAGAAACAGCTGCAAATATCCATTAATAACAGGAACATGGAATGTACAAAGTATGAATCTAGGAAAATTGGAAATCGTCAAAAATGAAATGGAATGCAGAAACATTGATATCCTAGGCATTAGTGAGCTGAAATGGACGAGTGTTGGCCATTTGAAACTGGAAAATCATACAGTCGACTATGCCAGGAATGACAAACTGAAGAGGAATGGCATTGCATTCATCGTCGAAAAGAATATTTTAAGATCTATCCTGAAGCACAAGGCTGTCAGTGATAGGATAATATCCATATGCCTGCAAGGATGACCAGTCAGTACGACTATTATTCAAATTTATGCAACAACCACTAAGGCCAAAGATGAAGAAATTGAAGATTCTTACCAACTTCTGCAGTCTGAAGTTGATCAAACACATAATCAAGATACATTAATAATTACTGGTATTGGAATGCGGAAGTTGGAAACAAAGAAGAATGATTGGTAGTTGGAAAATATGGCTTTGGTGATAGAAACGATGCCAGAGATTGCATGATAGAAATTTTGCAAGACCATCAACTTCATCATTACAAATACCTTTTTTCAACAACATAAACGGCGACTATACACATGGACCTCATTGGATGGAATACAAAGGAATCAGATTGACTACATCTGTGGAAACAGATGATGGAGAAGCTCAATTCATCAGTCAGAACAAGGCCAGGGGCCGACTGTGGAACAGACCATCAATTGCTCATATGCAAGTTGAAGCCGAAGAAAATTAGAACCAGTTGACAAGAGCCAAAGTAAGACCTTGAGTATATGCCACCTCAATTTAGAGACCATCTCAAGAATAAATTTGACACACTGAACACTAATGACCAAAGACCAAACGAGTTGTGGAATGACATCAAGGACATCATACATGAAGAAAGAAAAAGGTCACTAAAAAGACAGGAAAGAAAGAAAAAATCAAAACGATGTCAGAAGAAACTCTGAAACTTGCTCTTGAACACAGAATAGCTAAAGTGAAAGGAAGAAATGATGAAGTAAAAGAGATGAACAGAAGATTTCAAAGAGTTGTTTGAAAAGACAAAGTAAAGTATTACGTTGAAATGTGCAAAGAGCTGGAGTTAGAAAACCAAAAGGGAAGAACCCACCCAGTATCTCTCAAGCTGAAAGAACTGAAGAAAAAATTCAAACCTCCAGTTGCAATATTGAAGGACTCTATGAGGAAAATATTAAACAATGCAGGAAGGATCAAAAGAAGATGGGAGGAATACACAGAGTCACTGTACCAAAAAGAATTGGTCAATGTTCAATTATTTCAGGAGGCAGAATAACATCAAGAACCAAAATTACTGAAGGAAGTAGTTTAAGCTGCACTGAAGGCATTGGCAAAAAACAAGTCTCCAGGAATTGATGGAATACCAATTGAGATGTTTCAACAAACGGATGCAGTGCTGTTAAGTGCCCACTCGTCTATGTCAAGAAATTTGGAAGATAGCTATCTGGCCAATCGACTGGAAGAGATC